CCCTGTGGGGCGGTAGGAAGGTCTACAGTAAGGTGTTGATCTGCTCTGTTGTGGTGAAGAAGGAACTGAGCTGAACGGTTCTGGACTTACTGACCCTCTCCTATCATCATGGGATCTAGATCAGGACCTAAAGAACCAGATCCTGGATCCAAGCATCTCAAACGATGTTCATGTTACAGTTTTGTTCATCTGTCTGCAGCGCATCCTGATAAATGGCTTTTAGCAAGTGACATTATATAACATCACCACGATGTGCTTGACGTTCTAGCATAGCGTGACCACCACCAACATCAGGTCACCACAGATTTGATCATTTTGATAAAGTTTGTGACATTAAAACGGAAACTCTGAACTGCCTCAGTAATAGCTGTTACCCCCACCTGAAGATACCACACAGTCTAATGCTACGCTACGCTAATGATGTGGCCGCGCTGCAGCATTAAATGTGATCAGCTGCTGTTGTATGTTGTTACTAATGGATTTGAGCTGCATGCCAATGGTGCTTTTTTCCTGGATACCTGGTAAGATCCCACCCCCCAACAATGTCTTCTTCTCAAAACTAGTTCTTGGTTTTAAAATCAAGATGTCAAAGATGGATGTAAAGTTTTATTTAAAAATACCCCAACATTCTAAATAAATCAGCTAAAAGAACGAGGTCACGTATACAAGCGACCGAAATGAGTTTCCTTCGCAGGGTGGCCGGGCTCAGCTTAGGGACAGGGTAAGGAACTCGGACACCTGAGAGGGACTCCGAGGCCTAGTCCACACGTAGCCGTCTCTTTTTTTAAACGAATATCCGCCCCTCCAAAAACTTGCATCCACACCACCTCGTTTAAAAAAAAACTGTCCACACGTACCCAGATAAATACGTTGTTAAGGACATGCCAGACCTGTAGGCGGCAGTACTTCCCCGTTCTTAACCTCGTCCTTCGTCTGTGGTTTTCCGCAAGGGGCAGTAATTCCACTTGCAAAAACAAACAAGCAAAAAGCACTTGGACAATTGATAAAGCGAGCGCAGCTCTGAGGGCATCCATGCTGTCGGCTAGTGTAAACACAGGTCACACACGTGATGTCAGCATTTTTTTGTCACGGAAAGTGACGTTGCGGACCTTAAAACTCCGGTTTTGTCTGTCCACACGCAGACACCCAAAACGGAGAAAACGCAGATCTCCACATTGGCCGGAGTTTTTAAAAAGATCCGTTTTCGTGTGAAAAAACTCCGTTTTCGTGTGGATGACAGGCCAAAACGTAGAAAAATATCTACGTTTTGGCAGATCCCCGGCTACGTGTGGACAGGGCCTTGGTGGAACCGCTGCTCCTCTGCATCAAAAGGAGCCAGTTAAGGTGGTTCAGGCATCTGGTCGCCTCCTGGACGCCTCCCTCGAGAAGTGTTTTGGGCATGTCCTGCCGGCAGGGGGCCCACGGATCGACCCAGGACCACCTGGAGGAAATACATGTCTGGGTTGGCCAGGGAACGCCTGGGTGTCCCAGCTGAGGAGCTGGTGGACTTGGCCGGGGAGAGAATAACGTGGGGGCACCTACTTGGGATGCTGCCCCCGCGACTCAGACCCCGGATAAGTGGAGGAAGGTGAGGTGAATTCTAAAGCTTGGTTTATGCTTGACACATTCACTTTCCACTTGGTGATGCGGCTCGCGGATGTAACGCGCTTCACAACTCGCAGCGTTTATGGTTCATGCGGCTCGTCTCTGCGGTGAGCCAATATTCTCCCAAACTGTAGGGGGCAGCATGGAGCTCTATGGCATGCATCCAACACTACACCATAGTAGAAGTAGAAATTACTGTTGTTTACAACATGGCATTCCAGCATTTTTAGCGTCCTCGTCTTTTCCGACAGTGCGAGCTATTTCTCTCCAAGAATTATTAACAACATGTTGATCACGGTGATCTCTGAGGGCTGAATCATACAAATGTCTGTATTTACGAACCTCTGCCATACTAGTTCTTGCCGGTCCGCCATGTTTTTCCGCGTCCGACCGTCCGCGTAGTTAGAAAATTTCCTAGGTGCGCGTTGCGGAAATTTTGGGCCGAGCGGAGACGCAGTGGAGGGGCGTGGTTGTTAAAATGACGCAAAATGACGCAACTTTGCCGCGCGGAGCCGTGCGGACCTCGCGGACGCGTCAAGCATAAACCAACCTTTAGACACCATACAAATCAAGGTTCTCTCAAGTGAAGAGGGTGAAAACTGTAATAATCTGTCATCTGTTCACTTTAAATAAGTGTTTAAATAAAACATCCAGTCTTCATCCTCCACCAGTCACATGGAGGACCTTATCTTAAAAACTACTGATCAATAAGAATCATACTTTGTCTCTGCAGGACTCAAGCTCAGCCACAGACATGGCGTTTGATTGTTCAGAAACGGAGGGGCGGTCAGGGAGAGAGGTGGTGCTGAGGGCTGACAGAAGCTTAAGGAAACTCTTGCATCTTGCATCTGAGTGCTGACGCTGCTGAAAGGTGGAGGCTGGTGTGGTTGGGTCTGGTGCAGTCTGGAGGGGGGGTAGATGATGGCTGCTGTGTTCACCTGTTTCACCTCATCCAGACACAGAGGATCCGTTTCTGAGATGAGTTCTCTACAGATGTAAATCTGATTATGTTCCGTGTTTGTTCTCTGTTCCTGTGGAGAACTGGACTGCCTGTAAAGGTTTCTCGGACATTTGATCCTTGGCTTCACTACGGAAAGTTGACCTGCTGACATTTCACTGACCTTTGTTTAAATGAATTAGCAGTTAAAAGATCAAAAGTTCCTGTCTTTTAATCTGACTAGAATGATGCAGATTTGTGTTAAGCTGTGGATGTTTGTGGTCAGTGTTTGATTTCTCTGACATCCGTCTCAGGCCTGAATGTTCCCCTGCTCCTGGTTCCACTTCTATCAGCTGCAGATCAGTTCTACTCTTTAAGCTAAACTGTTCCTCCTCCTCGTCTTCTTGGCTTCGCTTTTTGTTTTGACTGCTTGATCACCTAAACTTTGATTTTTCATACACCATGTTGGTTTTCTGTTATCGTGTGTTTGAGCCTGCATTCTAATTTTATCTAAATAAAGTATTTTTTAATAATTTAGTATCTTTCTGCAGTTTGCTTCTTCATCTGTCTCCATTTCTCCTTCACCCCGACCTACATTCATGCTGCAGCCTAATAATATGGAAACGAATTCATGTTTTTCCAGAAAGAACTGTCACAAATGCAGACTGGGCTCAGGACAATTAGATCACCAGTGGATTCTTAATTTTCTTACAGCAGGGGTTAAGTTTGAGTTTTAATGTTAATAATATCAAAATGACTAATATGGCTCATGTTGTAAAGCTCTGACCCACAAATATTCATTTATCTCACAGATCTAATTAACAGAATACAATTTTTTCTTTTAACAGTTTCTAAAAATAATCAGATTTGTGAAAATCTGCTGATGGTAATTAGCTTTTCAAAGGTGACCACAGACCAAAATGGCCGACCACCGATTTAGCTGAGCATTTGCTGAATCGGCCAATTTAGGCTGCATCTTTAAATGTCAAAAACAAAAAAATACTGGTCTAATATTTATTATGTGAGGGTGGTTTTTACCTATAGTCCTATGTTTGTGGACTTTTCATTAATTTTTATTTCGGCGTGTAAAATTGTTTATAAAAATGAAGCAGGGGCTAGTTAAACATTTTTAACAGCTTTATTAGCATGAGAAATAAATAATTACACAGCCATGGATGTTGTCTAAGTAAAAATGGAAGGCTCCTTACACTTTCTCATTGACCACTGGTTCAGAAGAGGGAGGAGGAAGGAGGTGGAGCTTGCTCAGATACAAGTGCTGATAGGCTGATGCGGAAGGAGGCTCAGGGTGGGGGCATTGCAGGTCTGCACTGATTCTTCTGTTGGGAGGAGTACACAAAATCGATGAGGTGTGCATCCAGTACGTTGCAGGAGAGGTGAGATAGGACCTACAGGAGTGGTATTTGAGTGTCTGTAGAACAAACGGGTGTCTGGTTCCTGCTGACACAACCAAGCGCAGAGACAGGTGACAGCTTACTCACCGCCTGTCCAGATGTGCACGACACATAGAAACAAGCATCAGACAAGAGAAGGACAGAAACCAGAATCTGCTTCTTGTCGGAGTGTGCTTGTGTGTGTGTGTGTGTGTGTGTGTGTGTGTGTGTGTGTGTGTGTGTGTGTGTGTGTGTGTGTGTGTGTGTGTGTGTGTGTGATTGTAATTGTAGAAGCATTAATGGCACGATCATTTGTGACGATGTGTGAGATGAGGGACAGCATATCTGTGTATAATCTGTGTGTGTGTGTGTGTGTGTGTGTGTGTGTGTGTGTGTGTGTGTGTGTGTGTGTGTGTGTGTGTGTGACTGTAGAAGCATTAATGACACGATCATATGTGACGATGTGTGAGATGAGGGACAGCATATCTGTGTATAATCTGTGTGCGCGTGTGTGTGTGTGTGTGTGTGTGTGTGTGTGTGTGTGTGACTGTAGAAGCATTAATGACACGATCATATTGACGATGTGTGAGATGAGGGACAGCATATCTGTGTATAATCTGTGTGTGGGCGTGTCGACATCCCCTTCAGCTCACGTTCCGTAGGAACACGGGAGGATTTACCCGAACACGAGCCAGTACAGGAATCTGATTGTTGCAGAAGTTCTCCTGTTTAATCCGAGTTTGTTTAGAAAGTAGAAACATTTCTAAAATGTTGCTGCATCAAAACACTAGCTGGAGATCAGAAACAGACAAAATTCTGAATAACCAGCTTAACCAGAGATCTGCTGATCTGCAACTGAACAATCTGATTTTTATTTCAGGCCATGAACACAATACGTCTCAAGCAGCAATAAAACAAACGTTTTTCCCATTTATGAACTCACCATCAGTGCTAATTCACCCTAAGCAGGCCCATCATCCATGTCTTTAAGCTCAGAGGTTGTTTTTTCTAACTCTCAGACACACACACACACACACACACACACACACACACACACACACACACACACACACACACACACTCGTACATCAAGCTTCTGTGTCACTGCAGCTTCACTCGACACTATGGTGTTGACAACTAACTAACATGTCATTAATAGTTTCAAATCCATTGACGACCACCTCCTGGGGTCACACTTCCTTCTGCTCCATTTGCAATGGAAATCTGCTGATGTTTTAAATACGTGTGAATGTTCTTTTGAAACAGAGACACTGTATTAGTTACTTTGGCAGACTACTGTCTCTCAACTCTGAGAAATCGATTTATAAAGGGAAGTTTCATCAAATAAAATATAAAATACTCTCATATTTAGACCTGCACAGGAGGGCATATAAAGCAGAAGTCTATTTATTATTCAGTAGGGTAAAAACCCGGGGCAAAGCATGTTTGTAGGAAGGTTTTGGTCTTCATATACGGTTGTTGCTCAGTTAGACTTGTTTAAAACATCAGCCTGAGGGACTCGGCTCAGACCGGTTCCACATAACTAACATGGTAATTCAGCTAAATGTTCAACCAAAGTTCAAACACCAAAAAAACCTACTAAAACGATGCTGATCAGCGCTGATTAGAAACAACTAAGTGAAATTAAAAATTGGATTATTTTACAGATTTTCATGTTGCAAGTGTTGCACTTCTTTGTTTTTCTCTTTTTTCTGCTGTCACTGGTTTTTCTTAATCCTCTAGTGAGTAAAGAAGTTGTGAAGGCATGAGGTCATGACCCCTGAGGTTCTGATTGAGTCCTATCCCGTCTGGATTCTTCTCCTCGTACACGATGAGACTTTCTGCTTCCTCTGGATGAGTCAAACAGCTGATCGGCATTAGTCCCAGTCAGTCTGCTTTAGCTGCTGCTTTGTCTCATTAGGATTCAGAAGCATGAGAAACTCACTGTCTGGATGGTGTGTTTTAGGTGCTTTTCTGGGGGACAAGTTGACAGAATTTATTTTACATCTGGACGGGGCGGTGTTAGGCCCGGCTACTTGGGCTGAAGCCCCGGATGTTTCATGGAAAGCCCCGGATCTAAATCGCGGAAGTAACATGCAGTACCAAAGTCCAACAGAGAGGGAGCAGCTGGCAGTAGTTTGTATACAGCCTGCCTGAGCCTCCACCACTGAAGAAGAAGCCCTTCAGTAGCCGGCTTCTTCTGCAGTCTCTGCCTGAATTGAGTGAAGATGGACATGAGGACGTTTTTTAGACCAAAAGTACGGCGACAGAACCCCAGCTTTGATGAGACTGGTGCTGACTCAGGTTTGTGAGTCTTATTTGAACATATTTGTTGTGCTGCTGGTTTGCCTAAAGTTAGCTTATCAGGTAAAGTTGTTGGAGAGAGAAAGGGAATATTTACTATCATCTCACACTAAACACTAACAGGAACAATACTCTGCCCTGAAAATGCTTAATATGTAGCTTCAGATTAAAAATTATGTGGTACAAGACAAATATGATGTTGACTAGTGCGTGTGTGTGTGTGTTAAGCCCCGGATGTTCTTCAGTCCTTAATCCGCCCCTGCATCTGGAGAAACCAGCTAGTTGCTTTTTTGTTGTGGGAGGACTGTTATTGTCTCAGAGTGCCCATTGTCATCTATGCACACCATCTTAATCCTTTCAGGGTTTAAAAGGCTGCTGGCTTGTCATGTTGTTGAAATCTTAGAGCATGGCACCAGCACAGCCAAGCTGAGAGCTAATATTAGCTCAAGTCCCCACCGACACAGCATCAGACCAAGGGAGCTAATATTAGCGCTGCCTGGGGTTTAATTACCTGTGTGATGTGGCTCGTGGAAACATGGAGGCCAGGGAGTTTATACATACGTGTGTGTGTGTGTGTGTGTGTGTGTGTGTGTGTGTGTGTGTGTGTGTGTGTGTGTGTGTGTGTGTGTGTATACCCTTTTGTGAGCATTATAACTCAGAGACAAGAAGAGGATGAGTCATCAGATCTCAGCAGCTGTGGCTTTGTATTCATCCCAGTTGGATAAAAGACGTCTTCCTTTTTCTGCTCTTTCCTTGGATTCTGTCTCCCACCTGGTCCGTCACCTCTGTTTAAATGCCGGAGTGCAGACTTTCTGTCCAAAACAGACAGATTTAGTCTGAAATGGAGCATCACCGTGAGTAAAAATGCTGACTCTGTAGCTTCTCTTGACGACCACACTGATGCCAAGCGTTCATCGTTATCCCTCATTAGACCCTCCGCAGACGCTGGCTGTGGATCAAAGTCCATTTCAGCAGTAATAATAACGTCCAGACTTTAGGACATGATGACTATTTTGTCAAACGGCCTTAGAAATTATGCGGTGTATTTAATGGGTTTGAAAAACTGAATAAAATTTGTGAAAATACTCTGAATGCAACAATTTCATTATCGGATGTTATAAATATTTAAACTATTGAAATACACTAAGGTATGAAGAAGAATCACCGTAATACCTTATGTAACGAATAAAACTCAAATACAAACAAACACAACAGCAGATGAGACAAATATCCAAAGATATAGCCCAAAGTTAGGCCAAGATACTGATAGGTGATGTCACGTTGAGAGCAGGTGGTTAGGACCCAAAATGCTGAACACCCAGAACGACACGAGGCAGAAGCGGATGTAAAATAAAAATTCCTTTTATTAGGATGGGGAACAAAAATAAAATCTAAAAGGGCAGGAAGCCAAGCCAAATATCTAAATCCCTGACAAAACCAAAAAAAAGCTCACTTTCTGAGCAGATAACTAGAGACCATGTGGGGAAACAGAACAAGGCTGACAAAGACAATGGACCAACAAACACTGAGGGACACAAGACAGGGTTTTAAACACAGAGGGAAGCAATCAGGGGAACAGGTGACAGGTGTGAGGAGTGAGGTCTAGAGGGAAGACAGGTGTCATGGAGAAACTAAATGGGGAACGAATTAAGCAGAGGGGGAGATAAACCATAACCTATAAAACACTAAATAACTAAACCTAAAGACTGAGATAAACTACTAATGACTAGAGAGGTGAGGAGGACTAATACAAACAAATAGGAACTACAAGGGAGTGACTAGGAGGAAACATGAGGGAAGCCTAGAGGGAGCTGGGGAACACAAGAAGACACATGAGGAGAACCTGAGTGGGCTGGGGAAGTATAGGGACACACAGGCCTAGTCCACACGTAGCCGGGTTTTTTTTAAATCGAATATCCGCCCCTCCAAAAACTTGCATCCACACCACCTTGTTTTAAAAAGAAACTGTCCACACGTACCCGGATAAATACGTTGTTAAGGACATGCCAGACCTGTAGGCGGCAGTACTTCCCCCGTTCTTAACCTCGTCCTTCGTCTGTGGTCTTCCGCAAGGAGCAGTAATTCCGCTTGCAAAAACAAACAAGCAAAAAGCGCTTGGACAATTGATAAAGCGAGTGCAGCTCTGAGGACATCCACGCTGTCGGCTAGTGTAAACACAGGTCGCACACGTGATGTCAGCATTTTTTTGTCGCGGAAAGTGACGTTGCGGACCTTAAAACTCCGGTTTTGTCTGTCCACACGCAGACACCCAAAACGGAGAAAACACAGATCTTCACTTTGGCCGGAGTTTTTCAAAAGATCCGTTTTCGTGTGAAAAAACTCCGTTTTCGTGTGGTTGACAGGCCAAAACGTAGAAAAATATCTACGTTTAGGCAGATCCCCGGCTACATGTGGACAGGACCTCAGAGCACAAGGGGACACATGAGGGGAATGTAGAGGAAGAACAGGAGGGGGCTGGGGTCCATGGGGACATGCTTTACATGCTGACATCTATTGAAATATATCTATGAAGAAACAGGATGTCTTAAACTTGTCTATCAGATAGTCTCTGTTTCACTAAGCTGTGTCAAAAGCCTTTAACTTGTCAACGAAAAGGGCAGCAAGGTGTTGCTTCCTGTCAGGCTCAGTAAAGTAATTCACTCTTTAAAGCTGCTGTAGCTTTGATTCTTTCAAAAACCAGAATGAAATGTGTTGTAGACATTGTTCGTATTCAGTTTCTCTTCCAGTTGCCAACAGGTTGTTCTGAAATAGACCTATAAACACTCCCTTTTAATAGAGGAAACACAAATGCAGATTTACAGACTGAAGAAATTCCATTTGTGATGAGAGACAGATTCACATTAGATTTTATCTTTGAGTATGTGAGATCATCGGTCGCTTTTACAAAGAATGGATCAAGGTAATCAGGTCCAGCAAGTTTCTCGGAGTAATTATCTCAGAGCTCTGTGTGCGTCTGAGACAGAAGCAGTATCGACGAAAAATGGCTGGGGTGGTTTCCGACTGAGAAGAAGTAGCTCACAGACTCCAGAGGGTTAAGTTCAAGGAGTCAAGAACAGATCCAGTAGTTACAAATTATATTACAGTCTATTTCATACTTGTCTGGGATTTCCGACAGGCATGGGGGAGGAATGGAGTCATTTGTTTTTCCAGTAGTAGAGTTGGAGAATGTATTGCAGTCTCAAAATAATATTGAATTGATTTAGCTTTTCTGATTTTCTTTGTGCATTTGTTAAGTCAACCAGTTATTTTGTGTCCTGTTGCAGAGGACAGCAGTTGTGTTGTATGTGCTACAGCTTCTACTATGCTCTGGCTGACCGCCAACACAGCTCTTACTCCTTTACACGACGTCTTCAGCTTCATTCTGGTCTCTGTTGCTCTATTGCTTTATTTGTCCGTGCTTGTTGCAGTAAGAGGATAAATAAATGATTAATGAGCTGCACTTGTACAGCGCCTCTCAGAATCAGAAGACACCAAACACTTACACTACAGTGTATCATTCATCCATCCACACACACATATTAATGGTTATGAGCTGCAGTGTAGCCACAGCTGCCCTAGAGCGCACCGACAGAGGTGAGGCTGCCAAGCACAGGCGCCACTGGTCCCTCCGACCACCACCAGCAGGCTAGGTGGGTGAGGTGTCTTGCCCAAGGACACAACAGCACTGCTGGACAGCCCGCTCGACCTCCTGAGCTACTGCTACCCCCATAAACAGATAAAGGAGCACTAATGAGGTTTGGACCCATCCGCTTTGTACAGAATCAATAGCTATTAGTATATTCTTACAGACTTCCTCTGTTGGTAGCAGCAGATCATATCTGCTGATACTCTCCCCCTGGGTTGACATGAGCTAATGACATGCTGGTGCTCATGACAGATTTGTTTGCGAGGGCTCTCCTTTTTTCTCATTAGTTGCAAATCTCACTTTGAATTTGCAATTTGTTCAAAAATTTTGCAAGATGACAGTTCTCTCAAGTTATTTGCTGAGTCATCCCACGTCTCAGATCTGTGTGGAGCCCATCTCATTAGCAACTTTTCATGAAATACAGTAGTGGCTTTGTTACCTGTTGGCCAAGATACCAGAATCGTTCTCCTGACACTGTCCTGAGGAGACCTGGTCCTCATCTAGAAGCTTCATCTCTGAGCTCCATGTTGTAGATTTCATCATGTCAAACAAATGCATATGACAGTTTAGTGATGGCTGAAATTTAAAATAGACTTTCAGTTTGGTTGTGTAAACATCTCCCCTAGAAAATTTTGATTCAAAGTTAAAGTCAGGTGGGAGCTCGTGGATCTGATTCATTGTAGATGTGCACATAGGTTGTAAGGACAAAGTCTATAATCCTGCGACTAAAAATGTGTCAAAGTTGCCAGCTGTGGTATCTTTCTGGGTTTACCACCAGGACTTTAGTTGAAGTTGAAATGCAGATCACTCAAGACCTTTCATGCCAGAATTTAAGATCATCCTACATGAAAAAATATGATACATGATATTGCAAGATATTTTGTCATCTCTGAGAGGTCGACTCCTAACTGTTGGAAAACTCTTATTCTTTGTCTTTTTTTCATTCTTTACAAAATGTTAGCCCATAACAATTACCAAAAGAGAGGAGGCTCTGACATTGGTAGCTTTAATATTATAAATGAATAAAAAATCAAAGAGAAAGATTTTGTTGCCTTTTAAGTGAAGGCTAATGAACAGTCTGCTTAGAGGCAGCTGTATAGGCTGCCAAAGTCTAAGAATATTATAAATGCCAAGAAGCTTGGTGAGATATGTAGCCACAACAACCCAAAAAGTGGAAATCTTTGGTGAGATGGACCATCCTTGAAGTCAGGACAGAAGCAACAAATGGGGTTTAACCCAAATGTATTCACATTTTATGTTTATGTTTATGTATTTAGCAGACGCTTTTGTCCAAAGTGACTTACAAGTGATAATCGGCATGTTGCCCTTGAGGCTAACAACAACAATAATAACAACAACTTGACATCAGTCATGGAGAGGAGGGAGTAAGGAGTGGACAGTAGAGAGGGGGGACGGGTGCAGGGAGGGTGCTAGTTTAGAAGATGCTCTCTGAAGAGCAGGGTCTTCCGGAGTTTCTTGAAAATTTGAAAAGGAAGCCGCTGTTCTGGTAGTGCTTGGAAGGTCATTCCACATTTGTGGAACGATGCATGAGAAGAGTCTGGATTGTCCTGAGCGTGGTGTAGGCACTGCTAGCCGACGATCCTGTGATGACCGGAGCGGCCGAGACGTAAGCCTCTGCAAGAGGATTCAGGTAGATGGGAGCCGTACCATCTCAGACTTTGTATGCTAGTGTTAGCAATTTAAATTTGATGCGTGCTGCTAGCGGTAGCCAGTGGAGCTCAATGAACAGAGGGGTGACGTGTGCTCTTTTTGGCTGATTGAAGACCAGAAGCACCGTTGCGTTCTGGACAATTTGAAGAGGTCTCACAGTACAGCCTGGAAGACCAGTTAGAAGGGCATTGCAGTAATCGAGGTGGGAGATGACAGTAGATTGCACCAGGAGCTGGGTGGCATGTTGTGTTAGGTATGGTCTGATCTTTCGTATGTTATACAGCGCAAAGCGGCATGAACGAGCAACAGACATGATCTTTAAAGGTCAGGTGTTCATCAATCCCAACACCCAGATTTTGAACTGCCTATGAAGGAGCCAGAGATAGGAAGTCATTTTGGATTGAGATATTGTGCTGTATGAATGGTTTTGCTGGGATGACAAGTAGTTCACTTTTAGAGAGGTTGAGTTGGAGATGGTGGGATTTCATCCATTTTGATATGTCAGAGAGACAGTTTGATATTCGTGCAGAGACAGTGTGGTCGTCTGGTGGAAATGACAGAGCTGGGTGTCGTCTGCATAGCAGTGGGAGGAGAAGCCATGTGATCGAATGATCTCACCCAGTGAGGTGGTATATGTGGCAAAGAGAAGAGGTCCTAGTACAGAGCCCTGGGGGACTCCTGTGGCAAGATGGTGCATGGTAGAGGATTGTCCAAGCCAAGATACACTGAATGATCATCCTGTGAGGTACGATTCAAACCAGGCGTGTGCTTTCTCTGTCATGCCCATGTTAGAGAGTGTGGACATAAGGAAGCCATGGTTGACGGTGTCAAATGCAGCCGATAAGTCGAGCAGGATAAGCACTGAGGATTTGGCAGTCGCTCTAGCTTCTTTTAAGGATTCCATCACTCCTAACAGAGCAGTTTCAGTGGAGTGGCCCTTTTTGAACCCAGATTGGTAAGGGTCCAGCAGACAGTTTTGTGAGAGTTATTCTGTGATCTGCTTGAAAGCTACCCTTTCAATGATTTTGGACAGATGGTTCTGGTTCTGATGGTTCTGGTTCTGACAACTCGTTGTCCCCCACTGTTACCAGACAACACCTCCAATTTGGCTCAGCTGGCAGTGACCTGGAGTCCTCTGGCTCCAGTGGAGGGACCTTATTTTATAAAAAGAGGCCTGTTGTCAGCAAGAGTATTGCTGTGGAAAGCATGACATTTGGAAAGAATTCAACTTGAATGAGTTTAGAGAAAGTCCAGAAGAAAAAAAGAGACAAGAGTTTAAAAAAATGGAAGGTGAGGGTTAAGATGATGCTCAGCTTCACGCACACTAATATTCTGCATCATGTGCCTTCAGAGCATGAGTCAGAAAACTCTTTTCCTCTTTCATTCACAGGTATGAGGAGTCTGGTGCTAATCAACGTGTCCCACAGGCATGCTTGTCCTCTGGCCGTTGAGCCTGTGTGTCTCTGCTTTGCTGGGAGGCAGAAGAAGCATCGTCAGAAAATAAACTGACTACCAGCAGCATCAGAAAACCCAAATCCAGCCCAGCGAGAGAAAATACCCTCTCTTTCACACTGTCCGATCATCTCTCTGCCCCAGTTCTGTGTCCTCATTACGAGCTGAGAGGAGGTCATGTCCCAGTCTGGAAAAGTCCTTCATCTTTATGTGGAAGTGAGTTCTGCCCCAGGTCAGAATGGAAAGTGTGATGAGGGACTGGCTCAGGGGATTTCAGGTCAGGACAGTCCTGTGGAGCTCCTCTCTCAGCTGAGTCAAGCCACCATTGGGGACACCTCCCCGGTCCACTGCCTGGATCAGGACCACACGCACAGACAGTCTCTATCTCAAAATGTGGTTAACCGTCAGCTCCAACATGCTCCAACCTCACCTACAGTCACCAAGAGTTGGAGTTCCTCCATCCACCCCTCCCCCTCTTCTAGAGGTGCTGATGTCTCTCGCACTCCTCCTGATGGGAAACGGTCTGTGGTCAGCTTCCGTTACGTTGAGAAGTCTAATGTGAAGACAGTGGACAGTCCATGTAAGTCTGTGTGTGAGAGACAAGTCAGAGACGAGCAATCGACCCACTCCCTTCATCATCTTAGTGATTCCATGTGGTTTGGATGTCCCGATTCAATGTGCAGCTCCAGCCCCAAAGCGCCTTTCCAGTCTCCAGAGAGTCACCAGCAGACGTTCTCCCTCGGCCTTCGACAGCCACACTTGGATCCGATCGGCAGGGCAGCTACCCAGAGGGCTGTGGAGGAGTTTGGCTCCCCGTTACTGAGGATCAAACTGGCCCACGCACTCGAGCACACCTCCTCCTCTCGTTTTAACCATCAGCCACGCTGTCAGTCCTGGGCCGGGTCTCCTGTTCAGCGTCAGAACTTCAGCATAAACCTCAAAGACGCCACAGATATCAGACAGGACTTTCACAGGCTACTTCAAAGCCCAGCATCAGATCAGCTTTCTTCCCAGTCCAGGATTTGCTGTCAGTCGAACCCTGGACTACCTGCTAAACCTCGGAGCTCTCTTCACTGTCCAGGAGAAGACAGAACCATAGCAGAGAGTCCTGCCACCCAAAGGCCCACTGACAGGAACTCGTCACTGCAGGGAGAAATCCTCCAACATGGCAATAACGGAGACGAGGGTTTAAACCAGTTAAGTGACTGTGAGTTTTCTTCTGCAGTTCCTAGCCGTGAAGCTGCTCTCAGACCAGCAGACAGGACTTCCAAAGGGTCTTCCCTGTTCACAGAGGTGAGGAGGTCCTTGTTGCACAACTCTTCAGGTGAGCGCCTGAGTAGTTCAAACACTGGAGATTCAACTCCAAACGCACAACACTTTAAAGAAACACTGAAGATGAGCATCCCTTTAAAGGACCAAAAGACTCCAGCAGCTGCTGAGATAGACCCTCACCAGCCGGAAGCCCCTCATGGTCATCATGGCACACACCAGGAGCTCTGCTTTCAGAAACACAGCTGCTTTGTTTTGGATCAGAGTGCCCCCACCCTTACCTCACAAGTCCACCGTCCATCTCATCCTCCCACTGAGATCAGTTCTCCCATCAGAGATCCGAGGCTGTTCCAGACTGAGTTTCGAACACCAGACACTCCCACTCTGCATCGCCATCAGCCTCCGCAGTACACCGGAGACTCCTGGTCCCCATGCCACCACGACAGGAGAGGAGACCTGAGCTGCTTCGACAGGGAGGACTGCACAGAGCTAGCACGTAGGCTCTTCATCAATGAAAGCGTAGAGGCTCCAGTCAGCTGGACTTCCAGGCAGCAGTGGAGGACCCATGTGGAGAACATCCCAGAACCTGGGTTTGAGGCCATCACTCAACAAACTCAAGAATTCAGTAAACAGCACCAGCCACTCAGCCCCACGGCCCAACAGAAACGGGCCGAGCAGCGGAGGAGAGAGATTCTTCTGCTCGGACCAGTGGCTCTGGACTCTGAAGAGGAGGAGGAGGAAGCGCGTGAAGTGGAGGGATGTGATACAAGGCAGGTGGAGCAGAATGGATCAATACCCGGGTCATCATCACGAAGCTCTAGTGGGGTGACCGGGAGTTTGGGGGACCAAGACTGTATATCTCCAGGGACCAGTCAGTCCAGCCACCAAAGCAACGAGACCGGACCTGCAACCTCAGGAATACAGGTGAGTCAGGGCCGATAAAAGCCTCGGAGCTGAAGAGTAGTTTGGTATTTTTAAACTAAGAAAAAAATCAACCTTCCTAATATCATCTTTGTAAATGCAGGATGCATTTAAAAGCTGTGCTAGTTGTTTCTGACTCTGCCTGTAAATACTATAAGAAAAACACTAATATGTTGACTAGATTCCCCTTAGTGACATTTGTCAACTATTCCTTTAAAGCCTGGACCACACTGTGCATTTTTTGGTCATCTAATGGGCCATTCCCATCTGTACCGGGTCGGCCCGGGCCGGGTAGCCCCAGTCGGCCCCAGCCTGGCCCGGTTGATTCCACACGTCCTTGCCTTAAGCCCATGTGGGCTGATTCTACCCACCAATCAGAGGCTTGCTCTAATGGAAGGTGTGAATTTGCTGTCAGCAGTGGGTGTGTTGGCCCTGGTCGGCCTGAAGCAGACCCCCTCGAGAAGAGGGCTGAGAATGAGCCTTGGTTGGTCCGGAAAAATACCAGGCCACCCAGATATGTAAACAACCTACGCTACCCGGCCCGGGCCGACCCGGTACAGATGGGAATGGCCCATTAGAGAAATCTTTCATCGTGAACAGAATTGTGACAAAAAACAGTGAACGTGAGGGTGTTTTGCAAGTGTGGTCCAGTGTGACCGACTTTGCGACAGCTCATTAAGCACTCTCACAACCTAAGCCAGCCTCCACTAGTTTTCAAGAACTGCTTGAAAACTCACGACTCTCGTCTGCACTCAGTCAATGAAAATCCACCCAGGGAGCGACGGTAACAGCTAGGCAAGGCAAGGAAACTTTATTTGTATCGCACATTTCAGACACAGAGGCTATTCTGTGTGCTTTCCATTAGCGAGAATGGCGAGAACATTTAAATAAATGTGGCAGCATGATTAAAATAAACAAATAATTTTAGATAAAAGTAAAACACAAATTAATTTTAGATTTAAGAATCAGAAACAAGCCAACGTTAAAGTGAAAGGGTGAGCAGTTACAGTGCAGAAGGTGCAGTTTAACAGACATTCATTCAAAGGCTGATAAATACATGAAAGTTTACAATTTTGATTTAAAAGTTTCTAGAGTTGGGGCACACCTGAGGTCACAAGGAAGCAGATTCCACCTGTGAGCAGCATAGTAGCTAAAAGCAGCTTCACCCTGTTTGGTTCTGACCCGAGGTTCTACCAGCTGACTTTACGGAACCGGATGTCTAACGCTATTGGCTAGTACTGAGCGAAGGTCAGTATAATAGCATGGGGCTCTACGGAACAGGGGCAGGCTTAGCAACAACAAAAAATTGTATGTATTGCCAACATTGTATCACAAAGCAGGGTAAGACTATCACAAAAAATTCATTCATAACTCCTGAAAGATGGAAAACTCTGGAACTCTGCTTTATGTTTGTTTCTGTGGGATCTTTGCAGACGGACAGTGAAAGTGCAGCTGCTGTTCCTTCTCTACACTGTCAGAAGATTGCACGAGCTAAGTGGGAGTTTTTATTCGGGACCCCTGCAGAGGAGGCCCCTGGCAGGGGTGGAAAAAGTAATTGTTACACATAAAATAACCCTTTAATTTCATTGTTTAGTTTTTATACCAGTGAGCAGAAATATAAGAGTAAGTGTAAGATGTTAATTTTTTTTTATAATCTGAAAAAATGCCTAGTCTTCATTTTATACTCTCCATATCTACTCCTCAGACTTGTTTCCAGTTAAAACTAAAATACCTTCAAACACTCACTGGCCTGGATGACTCAGAATAAATCTCACAATGTTTACTTTCCCCCAAATAAATAATACCGTAAATCCTCTAATACAGGCCTGGGCCGGTATTTGACTCAAGCTCACCAAGCTCCAGGCCTTTATTGGAAGGAGGGCCAGTATTAGAGGCAGACCTCTATTTCTATTTGAGCAAAATGAACTAATGGTTCGCTGGAGTTTTTGACAATTAAAATTGCGCCCACATTTTCAAAGTTAAACACATTTCTTTTAACAACGGTAGTTTCTGCTTCAGCCCTCTCCCCCCTCCCCCTGCTTCAGCCCTCTCCCCCCTCCCCCTGCGCAGCGGCCGCAAACTCACTGATGCGCCTGCAGCCTCTCAGAGTTCCTGCTGCTCTAAACATTAAAATAATCATTTCATTTTCTGTTCCTCACTTCTGATTACCTTCAATGGTGTCTGTTTGTTGCAACCACCAGGTACAAAAACTAACTAGTTTTTATTTGACTATTTTTCTGTCCTGTCTGTTTATTATCTTCCTGCATCTCCTCTCAGTCCTAAAGAAAAACTGCTACCTGGGTTCATATATATTCACCTTATGAGTTACCTTTGAACTGCAGTTCTAAAAGATCTACCGACCGCAAAAACAGCGGAGTGCTCGCTGCTTGCCGGCCGCATCAGTGATCGGTGCGTCACCAGAGGACAAAACAGGTGATGCGCTCTGATCCACAGCGAAACGCATCAGGCGCAAATAAAAGACAGAAAACATCAAAGGAAATGAACCAACATGGACGATCGCGTGTCAGTACCGACGCTACAGCCCGTTGCACCCAACCCCCCCCCCCCCCCCCCCCCCCCGAGCGCAGGAGCTTGTCACCTGCTGACAGCAGGCTGCTGTCTTTTCCGAGGGCTGCATCTTGCCGGTCATTATCACGTGACAGCGACTAGTCGATGACAGGCATAAAAAGTCACTATAGTGAAGTCGACTAGTTCATACAACCCCTACTGCTCCCCAGAGTATTCTGCAGCATAATCAGCACGTTCTCTTTGAACTTGATTTCAAATTTTCGCCTCCTCTTCATCTCCGCACGGTTAAAGTTACCCTCGCGGTCTATCACTGGCAAATCAAAAGTGAGACGATGACACAACCACCCCCGTACTTGCTTGTTACCACATTCCACCCGGCCACAATAAGAGACCGGCCATTATTCACCTCCGCCGACTCCGACACCTGCCAAAATTGGAGACCCGGCCTTTAATTGAATACCGGCCTGTGTTAGAGGGTTTACGGTGATAACTAATAACTTCAAAACTATAGCTGTGCTGATCTCATCATTTTCTCTCTGGTAGATTCTTTGGAAGCCTCTACAGCTCCCCCTAGTGGTAACTCCAGCAAGTCTCCCACTCCGACTCCTCCTTCCACCTTTCCTCTGCTGTTAGCCAATCATGATGTGCAGCATGTAGAGGTAGAGTTGGTAACTCCTCCTCCTGCTGTCATTGGGACATCCCCCAAAACCGGCATCATCCGCTGGACGCTGAAGTATTCAGAAACCGATCTGGATGCTGTGCCGCTTCGCTGCTACCGTGAGACGGACATCGATGAGGTTCTGCTCGCGGAGAAGGACGATGCCGACTCTGCGTTTGGAAGCAACCGCAGCGTCCAGGGCACCTCTGGGGCAGGAAGCAGTCCTCTGAGGGGGAGGACATTTGGAGAAGAGGAGAGGGAGAGAGGAGGGGGAAGTGATGGTGAGGAACAGAAATATGATGAAGATGAGGAAGACGAAGAAATGGTGAGCTGGGCGAGTGTGCGGATGCAAGGCGACAGCAGGAAGCAGCAATACGCTGCTGAGGAGGAACCAGAGGTGTTTGGACATTGTCTGATCAGGTGAACACCTGCTTTAGGGTTCTCTTCTGACCCACATTCTGGTTTGAGTCCAGATCCCTCTCAGAACCTCTTGGTCCAAAAACAGGATTTTTGCATCAGTTATTTACATTCCTGTAACCAAATATAGAACAAATGTTTCCTGGGTAAATCTTTCTGATGCCATAACAGCTGTTAAAATAAAATTCTCTTCTTTGTTCAGACCGATGGAAACCTTTTTCGACAATCACAACCCGGCTCTGAAGTCCCCCATCCTAGTCCCTGGCCCTCGCTTTGGCACAGAGGACACCTTCAGTCGTCACTTTGAGAGCATCATGGAGTCCCACCGAGCCAAAGGAACATCCTACAACAGCCTAGACAGTGAGGAGCTGCTGACCTCCAGCACCCAAACTGTTCTGACCTTTGACCTGCCGACACTAACCCCTGCCATCCACGGGCCGGTCTGTCAGAGCGCCAGGCAGATCGTCCAGCTCAGTTTTGCTCCGCTGGCCCATGAAGAGAGGCCAAGCTTGTCTGATTCCATCTTCACTGTGACAGGGGACTCAGACGCCACCCGAGCTCCCTCAAGCGAACGGCTGAGCAGCGGCTCTGATGATCTCATTCCCCGAGGCCACAAGTGTTCACAGCTGGGCAGCAGCTGGTACATCAACCCGTCCTTCTCTTTGTCCAGGTGAGATGTTACAGCAGGTGACACCTGCCTCACGCCCCCTCAGAATTAACTTTGAGTTTTATCTCTCATTTCGGGGTCTCAGCAAGCTGAGACAGAAATATGAAACAATCATGGCACACTAATCACACTGTAATCACACTTGTAGTCACGCTGTAATAGCACTGTAATCACAATGTAATAGCACAGTAATCACACTGTAGTTATACTGTAATACACCTGTCGTCACACTGTAGTCATATCACAATGTAATAACACTGTAATCACACCTGTAATTACACTGTAGTCACACTGTAATCACACTGTAACAACACAGTAATCACACTGTGATCACACTGTAACAACACTGTAATCACACTGTAATAACAATGTAATCACACCTGTAATCACACCTGTAATCACACCTGTAATCACACAGTAATCATACCTGTAATCACACTGTGATCTCACCTGTAATTACATTTTAATCACACTGTAATCACACTGTAATAACAATGTAATCACACCTGTAATTACACAGTAATTATACCTGTAATCACAACAAATCAGTACAACATTTGTGTTAAAGCTCTAGTACCTGGTTGGGTCATGTGGGACTGGGGCAGATAGTATAATGACAAATAATGACATTGTTGCAAATTTTCTTGTTGCAATTTAGTCCTCTGAGTGTTGTTTCATTATTATGATTCATTTTTTTCACAATTTGTCCTCATTTGCATCCTGCTGTCCAACTCCTCCCAAAGTCGTTCCCTGATTCAGAATCGGACTCTAAACCCAGACTGGAGATGAGATTCCTCAGTTTTGAGAACTTCTGAGTACTGTTAGGATTTGCCAGAAGTCCCAGCGTGGTGCTGAGAAACTGGGTTTAGTGCTGAGGTTGGTTAACATTATGGTAAATAGTCTGTATTTGAAATAACGCCTTCTAGAGTCCTAGAACCCGTCAAAGGGCTTTACAACACTATCAGTCATTCACCTATTCACACACATTCACTCCCTGGAGGTGATGAGCTACAGTGTAGTCACAGCTGCCCTGGGGCACACTGGCAGAGGCAAATCTACCGAGCACAGGCCTCACCGGCCCCTCTGACCACCACCAGCAGGCAGGTATGTTGCTCAACACAACAGTAGCACAGTAGTGGCAGCTGGACCAGCCTTTCCATCCCACAGATCCAGGGTGAGCAGAGCCATGCATCAGGGTAAGAGCTTCGTAAAGCTCTTCGGGCTGAATGGGAGCCAATCCCTGCAGCTATGATCAGAAATCTGGCATAAAGCTGGAAACCAGAAGAGTTGAGTCTGCTAAAGCAGCTCATCGTTCTGCAGGACGTAATTACACAACCAACAGACAAAGCTTCTTACAAACATAAAGTTTTATACTAAGTACCGGCCATAAAGTTTGTTAAAATACTTCAACCCAAAAACCCTTAATGTTGTCAGAGACAGTTTTCACTCTTTGAATCAAGTAAACTCAGTTTTACCATACCAGTTTATTTCTGTAGCACACTAGAAAACAGCATGAGCTGACCAAAGTGCTGCACAGGACAAGCATCATAAAAACAACATTACAAAACAGATACAAACAGCCAATAAAAACATCATAAAAAAGGGAGTCACTGTCCAAAAGGTGCAAGAACAATCAAGGCTTTAGTTTTGTTAGTTTTGAAGTCGGTCCTGCAGTTTTTATGGTGTACAACAACAAATATGCTTGAATATTAAATCACCCTACAAAAAGCTGTATTCCTCATCCTTATTCATACATAATGTGGGGGAACTTTCCAGAGAGGAGTCTTTGATGTGCTTTAAATGTTTATTACTCTGTTTGATCCATTTCCCCCTTTATTCAAACCCCCACCTCTACTGTATCAGCCCAGCCCTGAATGGATCTTCCCTGAGTCCATCCGGGTTCAGGAGGTCACGAATGTGTAATGTTGGAGCATTTTGAATGTTTTCTGCCATCTTGTGGTGAGGTTTCAGAATGCAGCTCTGAGAGAAAAATCTGACTAAAATAGTTTCATTTATGATGTATTTAGTGAAGATTTTTGGTCAGATGAAAAATCACAGAGGAAACCATTACTGGCTTCGCTAGGTCAGAGCTAAACTCTTCTCATCTTCTGTTTATTTAATAAAATGCTGACAGTTTCTGATAGTCTCCTTCCTCCTGTATATGTCAGACGTGTGTGTGTGTGTGTGTGTGTGTGTGTGTGTGTGTGTGTGTGTGTGTGTGTGTGTGTGTGTGAACGTGCATGCGTGTGCATTTGCGTGTGTGTGCCCTGGTTGTGTATGGGTTAAAGTGAAGGTCGTTGCAGGGCTACATGTGGTTCCTGCTCTGTTTGACACACACAGGTCACAGAGGTGTGTGTGTGTGTGTGTGTGTGTGTGTGTGTGTGTCTGCATCAGTGTGTGTTTTCTTTCTACTGTATGGGTGTGCATATGAAGTGTGTGAGGGGATTTGAGGATGGAGGCATGTGGCTCCTACTGCAGGGCTGAAGGACTCACCTTGACTGATGCAGTTCCAAAATGTTCCGTATGCATTCATGAGCCTTCTTCTGCTCCTGTAGCCGTTAGCTTACATGCAACGTGTTTGATTTTTATTCCCTGGGCTGGTTGGATGTGCAGGGTGCAGTAGACTCAAACTCTGTCAGGAATCTACTTTCTGTCTCTGTTCTGGACTGAAAGGAAGCCACCTTAACTCAGTGTCACATCACTGCAGAGGCAGCAGGAACACAGCGTCTGCTTCACCGCTAGGTGGTGCAAAAAGACCAGAACCATCACGCTGCAGTGCTATTAAAGTGAGTGTAGGCGGTTGACTGAGCTGCAGTGTGTTGTTTGTATCTTGTAAAGATTCTAATCTTGGATTGCAGCGGATTCGTGGTGATGGTAAAGAAAAAAAATCTGCTTCACTTCCACTTTTTCTAACATGAGCCCAGTTCAGTTCAGTCCCAGACTTTTCTCCTAAAATCCTTCACACACACGCGCGCAAGGTAAATGTTTGCTCAGAGCTGATCTTATCAAACTTCTCTGCTGCTCAAAGCTCTGGAACCCTGGCTCCAGATGATGAGGTAAATTCCTCAGAAAGTTTGTCCATACTTTGATAAAAGTTGGAGTTTCACTCCCTTTCCCCTCCTCCTTCCTTCCCCAAATCACCCTTTCAGATGGTCTGCATCATAAGACAGTGGCTTATTGTGTGGAGCTGCCAAGTGGACCAAGAGAGGCCGACACTGGGAATTCTCCCAGGACCTCTCAGCGTTGTGCCTGCTCTTGGAAGCAGAACGCCGACAGGTGGTGAGGCCTGAACAGCAGCGCTGCCATAAGCTCATGGGTGTGAGCCCTTGTTCAGGCCCTGATGAAGCCAACGCTGTAAACACACCCAGCAATGGCCTCCGAGGTGGACAAAAGGTCTCCAGCTCAGCCTGAGGCGAAGCTAGTTTCTGAGTGTAACCCTGACACCTCACTTCTTTGTTCAATCTGGAGGTGTGTGAAAAGCTCACGTGACGAACAAGGCAGACCATCATTTGTAGGAGACTGGAAGAATAGGCGGGCTGCGTGTGTGACTGGAGAGTCGGGCAGAGAGAGGAGTGAACGGAGGGGGATTTTTAGGTGACACTCAAGCCAAGTCTCATGCCATGCTTCAAATACAAGGTCAGCAGCAGGAGACGGTGAGGGGGGAAAGGAGGGAATAGAAATAACAGCAGAGAGATAGAGAAGCAGAGGCATTCCAGGACAAACAGCTCTTTTTGCTCAGGGGAGGGGCGGGGTTGGAGGCTTGCTGTGAAGCTCAAATGACATCAAACACGGAGGGAGAGTGAGAAAGTGAAGAAAAATCCATGAAGTCCCAGTCAGACTCGAAACTAAGAGGGCGACTCTGTAGGCCTCGCAGGCGCGAGCTCGGGGGTCTAGCAGCTTCAGGTCTCTGGAGGGATGCGTTCAGGGTACGAGGAGAGAAGGAGCAGAGGGGTCAGAGGTCAGACAACCAGGGATGAAAAACATAGGAATTCCTGCTACAGGTAGGAACCCGTCTCACCTGTTTGTTGTGTCAATATGAGGATTTAACGCTGCTTTTTAGTTTCTGAAACACACCCGCTCCAGTCAGCAGCTGCAGCAGAAGGCAGATGTATTATGGTCTGTTGTCTTTACTCTAAAACAAAATGATTTTATTTCTGAGCGACTCCAACTTTGACCCGTCTGCGTCTTAATTCCACAGACACGTAATCATCAGGGTTCAAAACATTTTTGATTTTGTGGGAAATCAGGTGAACTTTAGTTTTCTAATAATTAATCATCATTTGCTGAATGTATTCTGCAAACATTCATGGTCCCCAGATGATAAAAGCAACTCTGATGTTTGTCTAATTTCATTTGTTCTTTTACTTTAAGCTTTATTCTCCCAGTTATTAGGAAATATGCGTGTAAATACTTGATCCAGCTGGAATCAAGGGTTCCCAGAGGAGGAATCGAGACACATTAGCTGATTCATAAAATCATGTTTACATTTGAATAGTTTAACCATCAGGGACAGGTTGCTTCTATCTCTGCAGATGTTTAAGATTAATAATTTTTTTAGCATGAATATTTAGTTTGTATTTTAAAGTTCCAGTGTGTCGTTTCCTGGAACTAGGGGGCAGTACATTCATTTCAGGGTGGTTTTACATCATATCGCTGTGCCTGTTGCTAGTTTAAAACAATATGACGGTAAATGCTGTTACCTGTGGAGCAGAAGTAATGATGAGACCTCGGCGTGACTCCTCAGACTTTGATGGTCCTTCAATTAAGGCCCTGTCCACACGTAGCGGGGGATCTGCCAAAACGTAGATATTTTTCGACGTTTTGGCCTGTCATCCACACGAAAACGGATCTTTTTAAAAACTCCGGCCAAAGTGAAGATCTGCGTTTTCTCCGTTTTGGGTGTCTGCGTGTGGACAGACCAAACCGGAGTTTTAAGGTCCGCAACGTCACCTTTCGCGACAAAAAATGCTGACATCACGTGTGCGACCTGTGTTTACACTAGCCGACAGCATGGATGCCCTCAGAGCTGCGCTCGCTTTATCAATTGTCCAAGCGCTTTTTGCTCGTTTGTTTTTGCAAGCGGAATTACTGCTCCTTGCGGAAGACCACAGACGAAGGACGAGGTTAAGAACGGGGGAAGTACTGCCGCCTACAGGTCTGGCAAGTCCTTAACAACGTATTTATCCGGGTACGTGTGGACAGAGTTTTTTTTTAAACGAGGTGGTGTGGATGCAAGTTTTTGGAGGGGCGGATATTCTTTTTGAAAAAAAAAACCCGGCTACATGTGGACTAGGCCTAACTCCATCAAGAGGTTGCAATGCCGATGCTAGTTTTCTGGCGCTGTAGTTTTCGGATCTGCTCGTGGTCCTGTGCCTGTCGATGACGTCATCATACTACAGCAATATCGCTTGGCCAAAATATATTCCATCTTTTTTTTAGTCTGTTCTTTCATATTTGTTTTGGAAAGTGTTTATCAGCTTTTTATTAAGTTCATGTTTCTTACTATCTGTTTGTTTTTGAACTTAAGTAAGTCGTACATCCAGCCAATCATCTAGTGTGATGTCATCAACAGGCGCAGGACCCCGAGCCAGTCAGAAGGAAACACGGCGTCTAACATGGCGTCCCTCAAAGAAGCTAGACCCTTTGTACTCTAGACCTAGAACTTTATGGTTATATGGTATAAAGCCGCCAATATTTTTCAACAACCGGACATCATTTTATTCATTTTCAACAACATTTTGATGGATATTTCCATAGCTTAAAGGTAAAAATACACATTGTCTCTTTAACATTCTCTTCCTTTTAGGATACTTTCCTTCCAGTGGGCGTTCATCATTATTCTTTCACGCTGCATTACATTTGCTTGCCTCACAAGTTGTCCGGTTTTCCACACATCAGATAAAAACCTAACTATTTAAGGTGTATAACTGTGTTAGCATGCTAACGCAACCTGGTAAACAGGATCCTGCTTAAGAACCGGCATGCTGAAGCTTTACGGTGAGTTTCTGTAAGTCACAGAAAACCAAACAACCATGTATCTTCATTAACCAGTCATTAGTGTTATTGGGATTATTCCACACGATCATCAGTAAAAAGGACTTAATGACAGCAGCGATTCTTCGCTTGTGCCTTTTGATGAGAAATCCAAATGCATTCAGAAAGTGTTTGTTGATTTTGGGACCTCAACAGCAGGCTGTTGGTCTGTCGGCATTTTCACCAACCAGAGGAGTCACACGGCTCTTGAAGGCAGCAAGAAAATCGTCATCATTTCACCAGACGAACTGCGATACCTCATTTCTGTCATTCATCGTTCAGCGGCAGCTCTAAAAGTTGCTCTCTCTGAGCTGGGAGGCGTAACACACTTAACTCATTTCACAGAGGAGCCCAGATGAAATGAGTTTTGCACTTTTGAACTTTTAATGCTTTGAAGAAGCTTAATTAGGACAAGATAAAGAAAAAGCAGGAAGCTGGGAAAAATGGGATTTTTAATGCAAATATTACATTTTATATTTAAACGTTGGATTTCTCCTAATTTGCAATCAGATGTGACAGTTTTTCCCCAATCCTTCTCAACGATTCATTGGTTTATTTTAGTTCTCTTGTTCCTGCACTGAAACACGCTCCAGTTCTAAACTTTTCCTTTACCTGGTTTGGCTCTAATTTCAGTGGAAAGCTGAATCTTTTTCTTACCATGGCCTGGCTGAAGCTTATCCACACATTCTCCTCTCAGCAGGGAGAAGGCCCGGCTAGCCACAGACTCTGAGCTGGACCAGGACCTCAGTGACCGACTGGGTCTGAGCAGCAGCGAGACCCTCACCAACGGCAGCCGCCGTAGCGACGTGGCAGCTGCCAAACGTCTGGCCAAACGCCTCTTTAACTTGGATGGTTTCAAGAAGTCCGACGTGTCGCGCCACCTCAGCAAAAAGTGAGTTTTACAGGTTTAAAAGATCAATAAATAAACAAGCCAAAAAGTTGGCGTTTGGAGGACAATGAAGGACATATAATTTATTAACAAGATGAAAATGTTTATTTTCCACAGTCCCTCTCATGTTGATTTTGGCTGATTTTAATGACCACCTGTCAACAAAAAGATGCTGCATTATCTTTATCCCTGTGTTTGTAAATAACTTTTGAGAGACATGTCCCTTCCTCCTACCGGTAACCAGTCAATAAGTATAACTATAACTAGTCTGATTACCAACAGTCATGTTTGCTGTCTGAAAGCTGCAGATCAAGATCTAACCCAGTGACAACCACTTTAAAGGGACATTTTAACTATTTTGAAGGGTGTTTTTGTGTAAAGGGTCTAAGTACACCGACAGGTGCATGCACATCACACCTATTCTCGCAGATTTACACTGGCTCCCAGTCAAATTTAGGATTAATTTCAAGGTCTACTTATAAGTATACAAGGCTTTGTATTGCCCATCCCCATCCTATCTGACGGACCTGCTGACTCCGTATGTTCCCACTGGTGCCCTTCATTTAGCGGGGAGAGTGAGCCTTCTGTCATGCAGCACCAAACTCTGGAACACTCTGCCCCTCCATGTGCGTTTGGCTCCCTCTGTCAGCAGATTCAAGTCGGCCCTTAAAACACACTTTTTCAGTATTGCCTTCCCTCTGTGACCCTTTACATGAAAATCCAGCACCGGGTTTATTTTTCTTAATTTATTTTTTATGATTCAGTAGCTCACTTTTAACACCTGGCACCATCTTGTAGCTTTTTTGGTTTTATTTGTGCCATTTCAAATGGTTTGGTAACACTTTCCTTTAACAGTCCCCTAATTACTAAGTACTTACTTGGTAATTACATAGTAAGTTCAAGTGTGTTATCGTTTCTGAGTTCTCAAACAGTTATTACCATGTATCTCAGGTTCAATTCTAGCTTTTATTTTTATGAATCATTCCCAGTAAATACTGATTTATACAATAATTACCCTTTATTACAATAATTCACTTTAATGGCACAATAATACACTTTAACTTAATAAATAACTACCACGTAAGTACTTGGTAAGTAGGGGGCTGTAAAAGGAAGCGTTACCAATGGTTTTTGTTATTCGTCACATTATTTTTATTTTTGATAGTGCTGTTAACTATTCTCTTATTCTATTGTTTTTAGTAGGAATTTTTATCCTTGATTATTTATGCTATGTTTTTATGTATCTTACCAGATTCTCATGCTTTCATTGTGTTTTGTTGATTTTTTTGAAGCATTTGGCTCTTTTGTGTACAGCACTTTGGTTAGCTGCCATGCTATTTTGAAATGGTGCTTTATAAATAAATTGGTATGGTATGGTATAGGGTTGTCACGGTGTGAAAATTTAACCTCACGGTTGTTGTGACCAAAATTATCACGGTTTTCGGTATTATCGCAGTATTTTTTTAAACATGTTACATTTTCAGACGACTAAATAAACCCTGTATATAAGGAAAATATTGTCCTCAGTTTGTGTCTAAATTTTGCCTAAAATGTGTTATTTTGTAATGATGTTGTTTATTTGTTTACATTTTCCCCTTTAGTCTTTAAAATACCAATATTTGCCCATAACTTCTTATTTTATGTCTGTTTGATTTCATCATTTTAAAAATATTAGATCAGATGATACTCAGTACTCAAGTAGCCTTCTAATCAGATACTTTTTTACCCTTACTTGAGTAATAAACCCTATATCAGGAAAATATTGTCCTCGGTTTGTGTCCTTCCAGTGAGCTTTGCAGATGTGGGAAAATGTCATCAGGCAGTAATCGTTGTTAAATTCATAATTATTCTCGGAGAGAGACCAACTCTTATCTGCCCCTGGGAGCCCCGTAATGCATAGCGTCATTTCAACATGGGGGTGTCCGCGACACGGTTTATATGCAGGTAGCGGCGCTGTGGCTGCTTTATATAGCGACTCGTTGCATTCTCCCTCAACCCAAATCCTCGGATCACGCATTTTAGCTAAAACGCTAACGTTAACTTGCCTTGCGTTGACTGTAGAGTTGTGGGTGATGGTCACGCAGATGTGTCGTGAGATTTGAAGCGTTGCTGCCTTTCAGACACTCTTTCTGCACGTGCTACAAACAGGATAGCCGTCTTCTATCAACTCCCTCGGCATTCTTCAAATATCTAAAAGATGCCCGTACTTCCCACTTTGTCTTCTTTGAGGGATAATAAATGTCCTGAGCGCTGCCGTCTCCTCCTTTGGTCATTATTTCAGCTTTAGCTTCAAGAAAGTTTTGGTTGTAAACAACAAAGTGCGCGTGTGCCGCAGCAACTTCAGCAGATGATACGGTGGCTGGTAAGGGTCACCGCGCCTACACCGCAACCACGGTAATCCACCGAGATAATATAGTTTTCAAAAACAAGACAGTTATTATTATTACTGGGGTTTACCGCTACACCGGTTACCGTGACAACCCTAGTATGGTATGGTATGGTATGGTATGGTATGGTAAGTAAATTTCACCCATTCAAGATAGCTTGCTGAGCAGCTTCTATAGAGAAACATAGATTATGTCTTTTGGGGCTGGTGGCTGGACTGAGTTATCTAGCTAGTGTTTTCTTAGTTAACTATCTGCTTTAGCATCAAATTTTCTATCCACTTAACAACCTAGTTCTCTTTTTCATTCACCACCTAGCTGACTACCGTGTCCACTGTCCTGTTCTGTATATGACAAGTCTTTCTTCTTTCATAAATATAAAAATCAGAAATTATACACAATAGAATAACTTGTCTTTATTCCTTTGGAGTCCAGCTGAGCAATAACATCCATCCTTACCTTCTTATTGCCAAAGACAGTAACTTCAGTCTTGTCTTTGTGTAACCGAAGGAAGTTTGACTGCATCCAGTCGTTTATTAGCTCTAGACCACATGTGTCAACACAAGGCCCGCGGGCCACATCTGGCCCGCGAGAGATTCAAGTGTCTTGAAATAAGTCTATGCTGCTTCAAAGCACACATTGACTATAAACTACATTTCCCATAATGCATGGCGATTGTGTTTCCAGTGCATTGACTCGCCACTAGGTCGCAGTGTATCCACTTCCATATTTAATTAATTCAACAAGTGAAAGTAACTGTCCACACATTATCCCAAAATGTCCAGGAAGAGAAAGATTGGTAGAAGGAAGGTGTTTCAACAAAGATGGAACAAGTTGATGCTTCAAAGAGAAAAACTGTCTTCACAGTCCTTAGCATCCATGCTACTAGCATCAGCATCTGCAGCGTTACCTCCTCTGCCTCGGACCCAGAAATGAATTTTAACAGCTCAGTAATCTGTTTGCTGCTGACATAGAAAGCGCACCGACCAACTTCCAGACCGAGAGGATATAACTCCAGTTTAGGGACACGCTCAAGTCAGTATGACTCTGTGGCTGCTGCAGCTTTTATTCCCCTCCCCCAACACAACTTCATGGTCCAGATGCTCTCCATGTCCAGCAGCACAAACCTGTGTGAGCAGCTGTTTCTCACTGATTAACTCCTTCTTCAGCTCAGAGCCCAACCCCACAGGTGCAGGTCTGGCTGGAACAGGTGAGCATCACAGGAAATTAGAGTGGAGAAAACTGGGATTGAATTATTTTGGTTTTATTAACCTTTTCTGCTCCAAAGCATGAAAGTTATAGTAATAGGTAAGATATTGCATTTCATTTAAGAGAATTACTATTTTTTTTTATTTTGTTGTTGGCCTGTGAAAAAAGATTTCACCTACTTTAAAACAGGAAAGATTACAGATAGAAGAATAGAAATAGAATAGAAAATCCCTTTATTGTCCCTCATTGGGGAAAGCTTGGTGTCACGGCAGTAATAACATTCATTACAGGAGCAACAAAGAAGAGTAAAAATAAGAATAAACAAGAAAACATAAAATAGAAACACTTAAAAGATTCAAAAGATACAAAATAAGAAGAAATGCTGAATATATACAGATTTTAAAGAATAAAATATTTTTTTTATTGAGACATAAGTAATGAATACCTCTGATGTGTGATTTATTTAAAATCTACTCACTCGTATGTAATTTGGTGATTCCACATTCAGTGTTACTGCAAAAATTAGTTTGTTTCCAAATGAAAATGTTCAACTGTTCATATCTGTAGATAAAGGAAAATGTGCACATTTGCCGTCACTTTTTGAAAAATATTGAGTTTGGCCTGCGACCTCGTCCCAGTTTTTCATTTTGGCCCAGTGCTAATTTGAGTTCGACACCCCTAATCTAGACACTGATAAAGTGAGTCCAGTGGACGATAGTCAGCAGGTGATGGGGTTAGGTAGATCCACTTTGATGATGTGTTGAAGCATAAATCCCAAATAAACATATACTCTATGTTTCCCAATTCTTCATTCACATGTTGACTTTTGTACTTTCAGTTAGCTGTAAGTAAAAGAGCTCATTAAGGCTGTAAATCATGGTGAACAATCAACTACTAATATGTGTTCCTCTATTTACATATTTATTAGCGATGCACCGATAGGAAATGTTTGGGCTGATACCGATATCCAATATTATTATCACTGTTATGGCCGATACCCGATTTTTGATAGCGATACACTGACATGAATGCTTCTAAAAGCAGCAGATTTTTTATAGAATGAAAATGACTAAAGCTGAATTTACGTTATTATGTACACACACCACACACATTTATGCTTCTGAGACGATTACAGTCACTGTCACATGACTAAACAAATACACATCACCCCCCTCACCCGCTGAAACTAATAAACAAATGGAAACAATATGGGGAAAAAAAATCGGCTTTAAATCACAGCCCAGTTTTATTTATCGGACCGATACCGATTTGTTCAAAAATGACTAACATTGGCCGATACCGATGCCGATATATTGTGCATTCCTAATGTTTATGAGACAGTTTCTGTTGTAAACAAGAAGCAGTTGCATGTTGTTGCCGTGCCTTTAGGATGAGCCCGGGTCTGTTGGATGTTTTGTTTGTCTGATGAAGGTGAATTTACCTGAATCTTCTCTTTCCTGGTTATTTACCATCTCCCTGTCTACATTCTGCCTCCTAAAAGTGCTGCAACACTCAAACCTGCTGATTAGAGAGAGTTTGGGATTAAAGGTTTTTCTCACCTTCTGACAGACGCATCCTGGGAATCTCCTTCTTTTTCTCCTTTCTTTTATTTCAGCCTTTGGTCTTCAGCTGAGTGACAGGAAGGAGCTGAGCAGTTTGAACATGTCACTGTTCTTTATGTCCATATTTTACCGTCACACGCCGACTTACTTCGTATTGTGTTGTGATTTTTTTTTTGCGTCCAGCAATGACTTCAGTCAGATGGTTGCAGAGGAGTATCTCAGCTTCTTCAGCTTTACCAGCCTGACACTTGACCAGGCTCTGCGGTAAGGAAGCACAGGAAGGTCTCTGATGCATTTTTTAAGCAGAAGTCATAATGTTTTTGTATTAAAAACAAATTTTCTTGTTTCTGCATCAAAACAGCTTCGACTTTGCCTCAGCTCAATGAAAGTCTGTTGCTGTTAATCAGTTTTTCAGAAATGTGGTTTTCTTTGGGTAAACACTGCCCTCTAGAGGCCAACAGTAGCATCACAGCTAAAAGCTTTCAACAGTTCCTGCTTTAGTTTATATTTCATTAATTTTAGGCCTGTAATCACATTCCTTACAAACATTTATACAGATATGTAGTAGTTTATCATTAAAAGTAAGAATCCTGTTTAAGTTTCTGAAAATATTAGTAAAGCTGTGTCAGCCGTGGTTAAACCCATTTCATTTATGCAGGGTAACGACAGAAACTAGGTCACATTTAATCTGCAGCCAGTTTGTTAACCATGTGGGGAAATAATTGTGTTTGTGCTGCAGGACCTTCCTCCGACAGTTCGCCCTGATGGGGGAGACTCAGGAGAGGGAGCGGGTGCTGGCGCATTTCTCTAGACGTTACGTGGAGTGTAACCCCAAAGCTGTAATGTCAGAGGGTACGTGTGTGTGTGTGTGTGTGTGTGTGTGTGTGTGTGTGTGTGTGTGTGTAACAGCCCTGAACTTGGGTTTAAACTGACTCTCACTGAAGTGTCCTGCCCAATGGCACAAGGACATGTTGGCAAGGGCGGGTTCTGAACCAGCAATCTCAAGTCACTAACTAACCCACTCTACCACCTGAGCCCCTGTCGTGTCTCCAGAGTACAGCATGCACCAAAATTAACCTTTATTTCTTGTTTGAGGTCAAACCTCATATGATGACTCTTTAGTTTCTTTCTGTAAAGTTTTGTGATTCTTAAGTGTTTACCTTACTTCCTGTTTTAATTTAATTTCCTGTCTTTCTATCACATATGGTTTTTGTTTGTAATTAATACCACTCACCTGCAGTTAGCGGGTTAGCATTTAGCTGTGATCAGGGTGGTTTCCAAGCTTTTTAATTGTAGTTGTATAGAGTAATCGGCATGTTGTAGACAGCAGTGATGGAAACGTTTACCTCTTACCTAATTTGTATAAACTAGTGAATTCCCATAATCCTTCACTCTCACAGTCAGTATTCAAATAAAGGCCTGATCGTAATAATCACACTTCTACCCTTGCGCCCTTAAACTGTGCAATCCCATCCAGGGTGCGAGTGTGTGTCTCGACTCTTAAAAAGCAAGTCACCCCCAAATAAGCGAGTGTCTAATCGTGCTGCAGACATGTGTCGTCAATAATTTGGCACTTCAGTGCATCTTAGTTAAAATTTAAATATTCTGCCTAAAGCTGGCAGTGTTGTGCCGTTGTCAGGTAAAAACTTTGCACTGTATTTTAATTTAAATCTGCCACCGCTATTGGCTAAGAAGTATGCTATGATGTAAACTGGTACATTATGATGTCACAATGCTGTCGTGAGCCTGATTGTGTGTGTATTTGTTAGCGGCTCCACCCTCTCGGTCTGCCAGGCAACAGCATGTGTTGCATTTTTCAAACATGAAGTGGGAGTGGAGTTAGACTCTGGTAGGGGGTGACTTGCTCTTTAAGTGCGGAAGTTGCCCGCATCCCTTTTGCACCCTGGATTCGCTCTTTGCCCGAGTGTGCATCGATGTGGACTTTGGTGACGAGTATTACCCACAATCCATTGCTGCGTGGGAATTTTGAGAAGAAGGTGGAGCAAAGGCTCAAGTGCCCCTTCTGAAAATATGTATTTTCAGATGAAAGGAGTTGATTTTAGGACAATTAATGACATTTATTCATGAAAGTGGATGTTTTAGACTGTTGTAGACAGCAATAAATGTAAATTTTGTCTAAAAATTGTTAGTTTGTTTGAAAGTTGTTAATAAAGGATTTTTCTAAAGTAGCACCAACAGCAAGCAGCATCCCAGCAGTTTTCCATGTTCCAATTCACACCCAAACCCTTACTGCACGTCCCAGAAGACTGTAGGGCACAGTGTGAGTACTGGGATCGGGCCAAAGAGCGTGTTCACCTGATCAGCAGAAATAAGATTAAGTGTTTCCTGGAAAACGTTTACAACTATTTGTCAAAAGAAATTTGGACATTAAAACCAGCCTGCTTGAGAGGAACCAAGTTCTCAGGAGACTTGCTACAGAGTTCTGGACCCACTGAAGACCATCTAGAGCTTTCTGTTTAAGGGTTACAATAGTCTAGATGGGAGGAAATAAAAGCATAAAGAAGCATCTTAAGTTCATGTTTAGATACCAATCTTCTCAGGATGGAAAGGTCTCTCAGGTTTAGGAGTTGTTATGAGTCACCTTCATGTGACGTTGATCAAAAACGTTTTAATCGTGCTTGACTTGATAACAGATCTAACGGGAGGGGGTTTTTCTCCTGCAGATGCTGTTCACACGCTCACTTGCGCCCTGATGCTGCTGAACACGGATTTGCACGGCCAGGTAGGTCACGGCTGAGTTGGTGGACAGGTTGTGTGAAACAGAAACCTGTGGATAAGAGCACACAGAGAGGAGATGTTGGAGGGCAAAGGAGTGTCTTCTGCAGCACGAAGACCTTTCTAATATCTGGTGTGGGTCTACAGGATTTTCTGCTCAGTTTCTTTCACATTTTTCAATCCTCTCATTTCTCCCAGCCTTCTTTTGGAAATCTGGGCCACAGGCAGCTCTGCTGTGGATGAATGATTAATTAAAGAGATGGGATTGAGGCTCCGCTCTTACAGCGAGGAGGAGCACCTCAGAAAAGTTTCATTTCAACAGATTTAACTTTGACCTGCTGCCATCAGACCCGTCCTTATCGCTAATGATGACAAACAGACAGAAACTGTAGCTAAGATCGTCTTTGGAGAATCAGAAGGCAAGCACCCCAGCCCTAACCACTCCGACGTGTGTTTAGAGTTACGAAGTTTAAAACTACAGTTCATGCTTCTTACGTTATTTGAAAACAGAAAATGTTTTCTCACCTGAGTTTAATTCATATTTTAAGCTTCGTTAATGTTTCAGATGATGACAGTTAGACATGTCTGTTACAAAAGACATAATGAAATTATTTTCCCCCGTCAGAACGTTGGCAAGAGGATGTCCTGCACACAGTTCATTGGAAACCTGGAAGGACTGAATGAAGGCCTAGACTTTCCCAAAGATCTGCTCAAAGTAAGTCATGTAATACACCACACAAACATCCTGGAGGCAGAGCCAGCAGGCTGTGTGTGCCAGCATCATATCGTCCCGTGGACTGGAGCGGCTGGCTGTTTGGGTTGCACTAGCTGCCAGCTGGCCTTTATGCTATCTCCAGAAGGCTCCAGTCAGAAGCCTGCTTGGGCCCACCACTTCCTGGTTTACTGCAGCTACTGAACCTTTTCAACCACAGAGCCCTGGAGGCATGCGTGACCAGCCGCTGGTTTCTGTGAACAACCTCTGCAGCAGTATATTAGTCCATCACCAAACCCAGCGGATGAGGTTCAGTCAGAGGCTGCGGGCGCGACGCGGTCAAACAACCCAATCAGCTCCTGATAATGATGCAATAGATAAAGTGTGTAGAGTAGTCCATCAACATGCCACGAGTCTCCAGAGCCCCGGCCAACAAGGCACATTTATAATGCATGAGGGAGGGAACGAGGCAGCGTCCTTCTGATGACACTTATTCAGGACAGCTGCCTGCTGGCCGTGAGCTGGTAGAGGCAGAGGCAAACCCGGTTTTACATTACCTGCTCTATTAAAGCTCGCAGAAATCCACAAACACTCTTTATGGGCATGCCTTCCACTCTGCGGCAGCTCTTTTATTCAGGCTCACTCTCATCTTTCCTTCCCTGGAGCCAGAGTGTCTTTCCTCTCTTTGTTGGTCTTTTCCTACTCGTGCATGCCGCTCTAACTGCTGATGGATTCGTCTGTATCTGCTTTCCTCCACCCTCTCCTCCTCTGTCACAACTCAGATTCTGCTGAACAGCTACCTGTGTCTGCTCCTCCGCTCCATTGTCCTGATGTGTTTTCGTCTTTAAACAGCTGCCTTTAACACGTGTACACACTGCGGTGTGTGTGTGTGTGTGTGTGTGTGTGTGTGTGTGTGTGTGTGTGTGTGTGTGTGTGTGTGTGTGTGTGTGTGTGTGTGTGTGTGCGTGCGTGTTAAGGTTGGTTTATGCTTGACACGTCCGCGAGGTCCGCACGGCTCCGTGTGGAAAAGTTGCGTCATTTTAACAACCACGCCCCTCCACCGCGTCTCCGCACGGCTCAAGATTTCCGCAACGTGCACCTCGGAAATTTTCTAACCACGCGGACGGACGGACGCGGAAAAACATGGCGGACCGGCAAGAACTAGTATGGCAGAGGTTCGTAAATACAGACATTTGTATGCTTCAGCTCTCAGAGATCACCGTGATCAACATGTTGTTAATAATTCTTGGAGAGAAATAGCTCGCACTGTCGCAAAAGACGAGGACGCTGTTAAAAATGCTGGAATGCCATGTTGTAAACAGTAATTTCTACTTCTACTATGGTGTAGTGTTGGATGCATGCTGTAGAGCTCCATACTGCCCCATTCAGTTTGGGAGAATATTGGCTCACCGCAGAGACGAGCCGCATGAACCATAAACGCTGCGAGTTGTGAAGCGCGTTCCAGCCGCGAGCCGCATCACCGCGCGGAAAGTGAATGCGTCAAGCATAAACCAAGCTTTAGAAGGATACAGTTGCTGGCTGAAACAAATGAAAAGAGCTGAAAATCCACATTTTCTGATGATGATTTTGATCTGTAGGGGTCTCCGATGAAGCGTCTGCTGAGGATGAGAGGTGTATCAATCTGTTGGTTTATTAACCACTTACTGGTGCTCAGACGCTTCATGGTGTAAGTCACCTGTTTGGTGATTTATTTTATTTTTAACCCCTTTATCATCAGTGTGTGAGGATCTTAACTGGAACCCGTCGTGACACCAGTAGCTCAGCATACCCCTCATATCGCTTTTCTGGCTCTGGGTTACAGGGGCAGTAGCTCCAGCAGGAAGCCCGGTAGAATAAAGTAGAATAGAATCGACTTTATTAATCCCACAGTGGGGAAATTCAATTTGCACCAACACTTAAGAGAATAATTTGAAGAAAAATGACAAAGGTTCATGTACACACACATAGGCAGTAAGCTGGTATTTATCCCCAGTGCTTTTCTCCATCTACACTGATGACATCACCTGTAGTAGGGCAGGAATTCAACTTTTAAGATATGCAGACGACACGGCACTGGTGGCCCATGTGGACAGTGGGGAGGCTCTGGCTCAGTACCGACTTGCAGCAGATGACCTGACTACAACTTTTAAGGAAAAATCTCTGGAACTCAACATATCTAAAACAAAGGAGTTGTGCTGTGCAGGCAGAGCCACTGCATCTCAGCTTTATAAACCCGTGATCATTCAGGGAGAGCAGGTTGAACAGGTGGAGAGTTTTAAATATTTGGGGACTCAGATGCTCATCTGTCTTTTCAACAACACTCGGATTCCATTTACAATAAAGCACTCAAGTGCCTCCATCTCATCAGGACATTAAGGGATTTTAATGTCAGGAAAAACATCTTTATTGTGGTCTACCAGGCAATCATAGAATCCATTTTAACGTTTAACATTACATCCTAGTACAACTTTCTCACTTGTAAGCACACAAATAATCTACAATGGATCACACATCAAGCAGGCTAAATAGTTGGTTCACTACAAACCCCCCCTTCCCTTCTGTATGAGCACCCTGAGATCAGGAAAGACACACTGATCACAGAGGAACCTTCTCATCCCGTTCACCATTCCTTCAGTCTTCTCCCATCAGGTAGGAGATACAGAATCCCACTGTCCAGAAAAGCAGTCCATAAGAAATCATTCGTCCCATCAGCAATCACGGCCCTCAACACACACCCGCAAATGATTTTATGTGTTTTAGGCATATAGTTGCATCTTTGGTTTTATGGCTTTTAAGCTTGTGTCTGTGTTTTTAGTTTTTTATGATGTTTATTGTAATTTCTGTTCTATGAAACTGTGAATGATGAGGTGGATGATGATGAGCCCTTTTTTGGTGTGTTCTTGCTGTGTCTAGTTTCTAATTCCATTTTTAGTTCTTTTTTAAAACACAGACAAGGTTTTTTTTTTTTTACCTTGCTGACAGTTTCGTTTGCCGACTGCAAAACTTCCTCAGAGCTGACGCTGATGGTGACGTCACTTCCTACTCCGTTTATCCGCGGGCAGCAGAGGACGTTGTGGCCCTCTGCTGCCCGCTCTCCCCTCTCCGATGATGCAGTCCCATGCACGATCCAATATGTAAACCCCATCATCTCTGTTCATGGTCCCGCATCGTCGTCTCCTTATCTCTATAGCTTCCTTTATGATCCTTGTGCTGTCCCAGTCCATTACATGGTTTTCTCTTGTGCAGTGATCTGTTACGGCTGACTTCTTTATTGTGCTTTCTGCTTCTTGTTTTGCTGCTCTTGTGTGTCTTGGACTCGTTTCTTTCTCACACTCCTTTCTATGTTCTATTGTCCGTGTGTTGAGTTGGCGTCTGGTTTCTCCTATGTACGTTTTATTGCAGAGTTTGCATGGGATTTTGTAAATGGCTCCACATTTATGTCCAGCTGGTATCTTGTCTTTTGGGTGTACTAGTCTGTTTCTAACTGTTGTGTATGGTTTTGTTGGTGTGTTTATGTCGTGTTTTTTCATTGCTGCTGTTATTTTTTCTGTTTGCTCGGTGATATAATGTTCTGATTACTGACATTGTGTGTATGGTAGGGTGTTCTGATGTCCATAATTGATATTGGTCTGTGTGTGTTGGTTTCCTATATGTGTTTATGTTTAGGGTCCCATCGGTCTGTCTGGTGATTTTCATATCCATAAATGCTATGCTGCCTTCTGTTTCTGACTCATAAGTGAATTTTATGTTGCCTGTGTCGTCAATGTTATTTAAGTGTTCTGCTATTGTTTCTGTTTGTCCTTTTGGTATTATTTCCAGTATGTCGTCTACGTAACGTTTCCATAATTTTATTTTGCAGTTTGGGGGGGGGGGGGGGGGGGGGCAGTGGCTGTGGCTTTTTGTTCCAGGTCTTCCATGAAAAACTCGCACAGGGTGGCTGATAACGGGTTACCCATGGCGAAGCCTTCCGGTTGTTTGTATATTGTGTCATCGTATGTGAAGTAAGTGGAGTTAGCTACCAGTCCTATCAGTTGTGCTATGTCATCTGCTGTGGGGTTTGTTCTTTTGTGTAAAGTCTTGTCCTGTCTGATTCTGTTAACTACTATGTCTATGGTTTTTTGGGTTGGTGTTTTTGTGAACAGGGATCTGACGTCATGTGAGATGAGTATGTCGTTATCTTCTATTGTAATTTCCTTTAGTTCTTTTGCTATTATACTTATTAGGTAACACAGATCAACATGGCAAAAACAGCATAGAACTAGCGGGACCATGAACAGAGACGATGGGGTTTACACATTGGATCGTGTATGGGACTGCGTCATCGGAGAGGGGAGAGTGGGCAGCAGAGGGCGACAACGTCTTCTGCTGCCCGCGGATAAACGGAGTGACGCCACCATCAGCGTCAGCTCTGAGGAAGTTTTGCAGTCGGCAAACGAAACTGTTAGCAAGGTAAAAAATAAAAAATAAAAATTCTGTGTTTTTAAAAAAGAACTAAAAATGGAATGATGAGCCCTGTTGAAAGACAAATTTCTGTAACCGCTTGGTGTCAGACATTAAAGTTTTTTTATTCAATTCTATTCTGTTCTATTCTAAGTTTAGACCACTAAAAAGCTTGGATTCCAGCACTATGCAGCATGCTGTAAGGGACACAGACATATGTAAATCTGGAATTGCACAGGTATTGAACACATACTGAGGAGAGAGAAAACAGCAACTAAACAGAAATGAGAAAATAAAATAAGAAGCAACTCAGAAATGTATGCATGTTTAAAACACAATCATTTGTTTTGTTAATTATTCCTACTAATTCCTTAATTAGCTCTAGTGAGGGCTCTGGGGCATCTATCCCCACGATACTAATAAGTTATTGATCAGTTAATCAATCTCTTTTTCTGAAAGTGTAAAGTCCTTTGTCACTGAGGGTTTAGGACTCGTAGATGTCCGGATTCAGCCAGTTATCCTGAAAATAAGTTCATTAATTTTATGATGGCTGGGTTCTGACA